ATGAGAGAAGAAGAGGCAGCTGTGCAGCATAAACACAGAATAACTCCAACTTTGTGTCTTTTTCATTGTAGCTGAAGTCCGGGACAAACTGTGTTCCAATACAAAACACGATTCCGTTTTTTACAGGACGGTTGGCAACTCTAATATTTAACCTTATGAACAAAATAAAGTTAAACATCAGTAACATAGCACCCACCCAGCTGTATAGAAACTCCGTCATGCTAGCTAGCACGCAGTACGAAAAAGTCAGCATAACGAAAATAAACTCCACCTAAACTTGGTTCATATCTGACCCAGATGGACTGCAGGTTATAACTTCTTACCTGAAGTTCAGTTCACCTGACACTCTCGGACCAGCGGCCGCTTCGGGTCTCTCCTCTCGCCTCCCTTTTCCTTCATCCACCTTCTGGCTTCCACCACTTGCTAATGTTATTGAATCTGTGGAAGCTCCGCGATAGCCACCACACGAAGTAACGAATAACGAGCCTATCTAAATCCCAGTAACGAGTAACACGTTCCTGGTTTTGGCATAATAACTAGTTACCGTGCTCGTTACCACAATAATAACGTAGTTACTGTAACGCGTTACTTAATAACGTGTTAGTCCCAACACTGTGTATAAGTCATTACTTTTTTTTGGTTTTGCCTAATTTAAAGCCTAAATAGATTTTATTTCTACTTTATGCTTTGGATTCAGATTAGTTTCAATGAAGCCTGTGAAGTTTTAAAAAGCTGTTGACACGTCTCAATAAAGTAATAAATCAAAGCCTCAAAGGCTGCTTAGGCGATCAGCGTCATTTCTTCTATATTTTATTTTATTTTTGTTATATTCTAAGAACGAAAAATCGTAAATGATATTATTTTATTTCCGTTAACTAAAATTGACACCTACTTTTAGCGTAGTTACTTATATAAACTGTATTTTGGTGTTGGCAAGCTGTACGTGAGCACGTTTCGTTTTGTCCGACTGCACGTGAATGCAGCGCTGCTCCCATCCTACGTGAATGCAGCATAAACTGTTGAGGTGATCCATGGCAACAGAGGAGCAGCAGCCAACCGCCGAGCCTGTCCTACACGCTCACACACACATAACCCCAGTCTCTACTCACTTCTTCCTCAGTGTAGCCGGAATGCACCGAGGAGGAATCACTGTTAACGGCTGCCGCTGACAAATTTCTGTATCAAGGTGACCGACCGGGAGCCAGCCCGTCAACCAGCTCCCTGGAAACGGCTGCACATCAGCGCCAGGTGACAGCAGACTGGACTCGCTGAAAACGGACGCATTCTTAACGGACAAGATGGTAGTAGCTCATGTTTCCGGACCTTAAAATTACTAATTTCACCCCTCTGGTGTACTATTACCCCGACCCAAGCAAAAATGAAACCAATTCTTAACAGTCTGTGGGCTCAAAACGCTTCATATTTCTGATTTATTTTTCTCGGCAAAAACATAAATCCTCTACAGTCCCAGTCCTCTTCACCGCTCCAGTTTATTATTGTAATTACTGCCCATATCTTTCTCGAGCATCTGAGGCATCATCGTGAAGATGGCGACTGGGTCGGGTTGGCAGCAGCGCTACTGCCCTGCCGGTCAGGGGAAATTTAGCACATCCTCGGCATCCAGCATGTCCTTTCAGTCCGGCATCGCCATGGAATATACCCAAGACCTACACCTGAAGATGAGCAAGAAGATAGCACAGCTAACAAAGGTAAGGATCATTTTTTAGGAGGCCTTCTCTGCACTCTCTCTTCAACCCTTGGGTAAGACCCTGTACCTGCTGTTCTGGTGTGAGAACTGGGCACCAAACTCCATTGGAAATTTGCCCGTTTAGCAATTAAACTTGTGTCGGTTTACATGTCTAACGAGCACAACAAGCCTGACATTTTTTAGTGGATCTTCTGGGTGTTCTTGTAGTTTCGGGGTCCATTTAAGGCAACATTTATTCGTCTGATAAAAAAAAATTAACTCCTAAAGTAGGATATGCTCACTACAGCTGTAAATCGCTTTGGTTTAAAGGAAGTTAAAGTTGGATTTAAGTTAAATGCATGCTGCTTGGTGTTTGAATTGTGAGCCGAAAGAAGCAGCAGCTCTGAATGCCTCATGGCATACTGAAATCTAAAAGCATACAAAAGCCCTCAAAGTCTGATATTTTATTTTAGTGAGTTTGGCGTGATTTCTTACCTGGGAGGTACGAGCTGCCTCAAGGTCTGCTTGGATGCTGCATTTTAAGCGAGCAGCGGGTCATCACAATATCAGCCACCACATTCATTAATCATCTTTAGCAGTACAGACTCTTCTGGCATTTAGTTTTACTTCTCATGCATAAGTGTTGTATGCAGTTAAACTAAACCCTTCCTGAAAACTTTGATCCCTCATAGTATCAAGCATTATGCAATTATGCATAATTTGTGTACTGTATATATTTTGGAGATCATTTACAGTATATATGGTTGCTCTAGACCAGCAGACTTGAGTGATATTCCTCTACACCACCCGCATCTATGGTCTTTCAAGGGCATTTTAAATGATTTTCACCTCAAAGCAGGATCAGTTCTTTTATGTCACTTGCCAAACTTTGGCGTCTCCAAAACATTGGCTCCATGTCAGTACATGTTTCTGGCTCCAGGGTGTCATTATCATCAAGCTGGGGGGTCCACCAGGCACTTGTACATGTTTCCAGGTGGCTTCTGAAGGGTTTGACGCCTGGAGTTGGTGATATATACTCTGAGGATTTGCCTCTGACTTCTAAGTATAAGATTTGTGCTCTTTTTGTGCTGAGAGAGTGGATGCTTAAAAAAACAAAAAAACAACAATTCAGCAGCCTTGGGCTAGGTGTGTGCCAAGCCTTAGTGCAGAGTGGACTCTTTAAAGTCACAGTGAAATAGAAAAGGGTCTTTTCGACCGTGGTAGCTAATTAACCATCGTAATATGCAGCGTAGCTTTTAATAATAATTTAAAGGAAATTGCACATGTAATATTTTTGTATTTTTTGCATAAATTTTTTAACTTCTTAGTTTTTGCCACAGTTTTGTTCAAATATTATGTAATGTTAAAGGTACAGGGATTTTTCTTCATGGAAACGTTTGGTATTTTATATGAAGATCCAACAGACCCCTTGCCAAAAAACAGTTATGTTCATTTTGATTTCATTTATTTAAGTTTAAAATACATTTTTGTGTATGGCTACTCTAATGCCAAAAGAAATGTTAAGAAACAACAATACCTTTTTTCAAAACTATTATTTTAACTATTATTTTAATTATGAGGGCAAATTATATGATAGTGGAGCTTATTGTGAAGCAAAAAACCTTGCTTGTCTCAGCCTAGCTGCCTGGGTATGGTCATGTTTTGAATTTAATGTCCTAATTTAACATTGTCTCTTGTGTCTAAAATTGAAGTTTACTTCCTCTGCTGTGATTTTTTTTGGGGGGTCTTCACCTGTGTTTTGTTCCTTCCAGATCTCTCCACTTTCCTGATTACCCTATGTGTATAAATAGTCCTGCCCCTTTCCCTTGGTCTTTGTTGTGGTGTCTATATCTGTTCCTGTGCGTGCCTCATGAAAGGTTTGCTTTTAAATATTTAGTCTGCCTGGAGTCCTGCATTTAGGTCCTTAATTCTGACACCTAGGTGCAGGTGCTGTGTCCCGTCATCTGACAGCCCAGTCAAAAGAAGAACTGATTACAGACGTTAGTCCTAATCTTTCAGTTCACGCGTTGGCGTGCCTTGGACAGAGAATATTGGAAAAGCACAAATATATTCTTTTCAGTGAAAAGCTGATGTGTAGACTATAACATTAATTTCTATAATATTATGTAGTAATGCTGTCTTTTTGCATAATTCTGGACAACAGAGGCAGACAAATTTGGGTGCAACAAAATTATTGTTAGGATGGTTTACAAGGAGCTAAACATAACCCCTTAACATTGTGTTGTCAGACTATATTTTGCTTATGAAAAATGTTCTCTTAACATAGTGTTAGAATTGCTAGAACTCAGTGGATTCTAAGGAGGTATAAAAATTAATTAAATAAAAACTACTATGCTTACTAAAAAAGTAAGCATAGAAATAACAAATAATATAACCTACACTAAAAAAATAACAACATCAATCTTTTCATCACTGTTAAAAAATCTGGACTCTAATGCCGTATATAAACTGCACACTCCAGTTTAAACACTGGAGTGTTTATAATTTACAGTTTTTGTGTTATAGTGTTGATAAACCTAACCTCACAGTGGACAGGACTCATGAAAGTTTTTTTTTTCATTGTCTATGCAGGTAAATCCTCACTTCCAGTTCCATTTTTTTTCCAGTTCTGCACCTGTACACTTACCACAGATCATCGGTCAGCAACAGGGTAGAAAACATTTAAATCAGGCACTTCTATGAAAGCCTGCATGATGCTGCAGAGTAGTTTAATCTACATTTTGTCAATGAGAGTCAGCTTTTAATCCATTTAATTTAGAATTCCAATTCAAGGTGCTAAACTGTTAAAAAATAAGATCATTCATAGTTTAACTAAATATTTTTACTTGCAGTCTATCAAAAAAAACGGCTGATATTTTGATGTGTTTACCAACAAGATTGTTTTTTTTTTCTCTTCATCAATGCTTTCTTCTTGATATGTTGTCTTTAATGCCACTGTTGGCTCTTGTATATGAAGTATAACAACAAAACATGAATTTAAGACAGTGATGGGAAACACAAAATAGCAATTTACACAATTTTTACTGCACCTGTATCCCAATAATTCATTTACAATAAAACATTTTCAAGATTGGCATCAAATATTTACATTAACATAAGAAAAATAACTAATGAAACAATGCCATGGAATTTAAAAATTACATATTTCATTTTTATTAAGCCATTTTTGATCCTGAACTCAGCCAAGTTGAAGTACAAGAAAAAATATCTTCAAAGAAAAAGTGGAGAAGCACTAATTTCATAGCGGCATTAAAACACAATGAAACAGAGGCTGAGATAAAACCGTATTTCCAGTGAGTGTGCACCAACTGACACAATAGTGGATGTTGTTTTCGTACGCCAAGTCACATGATCACCACACGTTCCCACAGGCGACACATCTGAGCCTCGTGTCTCCAGTGCCTTGTTGTGTTGGGCCACGACAAAGCAGGGGAGGGGAACAGGCTGATAGCATTCGGCCCATCTGCTGACCGCTGATCTCTGCAGAGTGAGAGATGCATTCAGGAATAAATAGCAACCTTGGAACCTCTCTGAGCCACTCTTGTGACACATCTCTGCCTGGGTGATTTCCAGCTCGCTGTCACAGAATGATTCGGGAGCGACTGACGCATCTCTTTAGTCCCGTATTTTAACTGAATTATCTGAATCTATAGTGTCTGCTTTACAAGTTATGATTTTTCAAAATCCTTTGTCTTTTTTCCCTTATTTCGTTTTTATAATCTGGTCATGATTTTTAATCCTGATAACATCAGCCAGCTTGCTACAGTGCTACTGTAATTCTGTTTTTTGTTATCCTAACTGTTTTATAGTTACTGAAATTTTGCAATACTTTATATAGTTTACATTACTATTGCATAATACAATAAATTATTTTGTTACATACAAAGACAAAACATAATTGCTTGAGAGACAAAGTGGGCAAATCTCAACTTCAGCCAGAGAGCAAAGCATGCCATCGATTGACATGTTACAGCAGGGGTGTCGAACTCCAGGCCTCGAGGGCCAGTGTCCTGCAGGTTTTAGATCTCACCCTGGGTCAACACACCTGAATCAAGTGATCAGTTCATTATCAGGCCTTTGGAGAACCTCAGGACATGTTGACGAGGTAATTTAGCCATTTAAATCAGCTGTGTTGGATCAAGGAAACATCTAAAACCTGCAGGACACCGGCCCTCAAGGCCTGGAGTTTGACACCTCTGTGTTACAGGGTGGTGAATACAGGATTACGTTGGCAGGTGAAGTCTGGAGTAAACTAGAGACAAACCATCAGCAACAAAGCAGTGCATGATGAGCGAATTACTTCCTGCATGGAAGCAGTCTTAAATGCGTGAATAAGGATTTGGAAAGTAAAAATCTCAGCAAGGGATGGAGAATCCGCTCATGCTGTTGTGCATGCTCTCCTCATAATTAAACGCTATAACTGCTTAATGTGAACATATGTTACTCCCGCCAGGTTAAATTGTCATAATAAAAATACAGGAAACACATGTAATAAATGCAGCATGTTTTAAAGCTTGTGTTTGTGGTTTCCGTGATGGAGTGTTTCCCATTGAGGTGTCTGGATAACCTGTGCATCGCAGGCTCAAAATACATTTCAGTCTCAAAGTCGTGCTGACTGACATGAAAACATGTGAGAATTTGTGTCCGTGAACGTGAACAAAGACAGTGCTTGTACGTGACCACTTCAACTTTTGCTATGAGAGCAGGCTGACAGCTGTAGCGTGCGTCAGTGAAGCAGTGTTATCATTTCAATGCTCTGTACGTTTTTGCTGGGATTTCATGCAAAGTCAGTAAGTCAGTTATCGATTGCCATTCTCCTGGGATGCTGAATTTCATGATTTCATGATTTGTGATTCAAGACTTGTTGGCACTGTTCTTTAAGACTTCATGCAGTAATTTTTAATCCCACAAAGCTGCTCGCCTTTGTGTACTGCTGGGATTTCACTGTCATGATTTTTTTTTTTTTCACAAGTTACACTCTCTGATGGCTTTCTTTTTATT